TGCGTGATCCGGTTTTGAATCTGGGGGTGATAAGAGATGTTTTCCATGCAGATGGATAGGCCCCATATTCCATAGATAGGTTGAAAAGTTTTAAACAAAGTAATGGGAATTCTCTACTACCATATTTCACAAATGATGAGGGAATCCCGTCAGGTCCACCGTCATAGGACTTTTTCAAGGCAGTTATGGCGTGCTTGATGTTGGAGGGTACAAAATCAATTTTCGACAGGTGTCTGCACGTCAGCATTGGAAATGTATTGATACAGCTTTCAGTTCGAGTGTTATAGCACTACGAGAAATACTGACTGAATTCTTCGCAAATAATATCGGGGTCATCAATAATTCTTCCGTTAACTATGAAGAATTTGGTCACGCCAAGAGAATTTGACTTCACACGCGATTTAAAAAGCCGAAGTATTGATAATTCTGGGTTCTTATTACCTAGGGCTTTATTTTCTATATTTATCTTCAAAATGCATTTGCTTCTTGCGGGAAACTGGTTCAATGTGATGCACGAGTACTAAGCAAGCTTGATTTTTATTACAATTTGGATAACTTCATATCACTTTTTGTTTAAACTTATAATTAGGTCACTTTTAATGAATACTCTAATCAATATTTCAAATATGTTCTAAATGAAGCCTTATTGTTCATAACCTGGGGATATAAAAATCCATCATTATTTCGTGGGGGAGGATAGTGTTGGAAAGTCTATGATGCAAATTCTAAGTATCAGTGGTTTCAGTGCAAGACCGACATGATGATTGTATACAATTCAAGGAGTCAGGTGGTTCTGTTCCAATTTAGGTTGTTAATTCTAATACTAACGAGTGTATTCTAGATAATACAGAGTCTATATCCAATACACTGTGGTGAGATGAATATAAGAAGACGTACAGTTGAATACAGACACTCACACTGCAATTTAGGCTGTGGCGGACGTGGTGTTTGTATGAATCGACGATTTCTTTGTATTGATAGCTGTTTTTATTTTGAATTCCAATTATGGTACATTCGTTTGTTCGCATCTAATACTTCTTGGTTATATTGCGTTATTCCTAGGGTTTCCAGTTTATACTATAATCTAAATACTCTTAAATATCACATGTACTTACATGTATTTTGACTGTTTTGGAATGGAACATTATTTGTGAAACATTTCCACCTTATGCCGATTAATTACTGCCTGTTCTTAATAATTCATTGCACAAGTTTGCAATTATAAAAGGCTTTACTTACTACAGGATACGTTATTCAGGAAAGTTGGGCTACATCCAAGCCCTAGATTCTTGTCAAATCAACTAGTTCAGGCGTTTTGATTTCAGATAGGTAGATGTTCCAAATTATAATAAGTTTTAATAACGTTGGGTATATATGTATATATACATATATATGTATATATAGTGGCCTGTCAATCTGTGATACATAGAAGTATCTGACTTGATATATAAACCAGGAACTTCTAAAATTAGACAATCAAGGCTAAGTACAACTAAGTGGGCAAAAACGGATGTACCGCATATACAATTCAAGATCAGCTAAACATCAAGCACAAATGAATCGACTCTTCATATAAACACCACTTAATCTCGTCTGCTCCACAGCTTTAAGACCATTAGGCCTTAGATACCTGATTCATTTTTAATCAGAGACGTCTAAAACCTAAATTATATTTACGGAATTCGTTGACAGTTTCACGTTATACATTGACTAACATGCACTTCTTTATAAAATAAGTTAGTGCAAGGTCATCTGACTAATTAATAAGCCAATTCACATTTTTCGGACTTAATCACTCGTATTCAAAAGTTCAGTGAAATTATTGTAGTAACCTACTTTTACGACGAGAATGCAAATGGTAGAGAGGAAATAATAATTATTAAAACCAGTTGTACTAGTAGTTGTTTCACTGTACCTGTTTGTTTAAGTGTACAAAACACACACATTCTTTCGTCACCTATTGACTTGCTCCAACTCGCTTACGCTCAGTAGTTCAGCTTGTAAACGTCGGCATGGTCTCAGTATCCTTTCGGTACCAAGAGATCAACAACAAATATACCTTATTGCAATCGTCAAATGCCTTCTAGTTTTGGGCTTACGGAGGGGCCCCCAAATGCTCTGGTACGGCCGAGAGTGGGGAGAGTCACCTCTCCCTCTCCAAATACTCTCATATGGCCAGCGAATATATAGCCTTTGCCAGGGAAGTCCTACTCACTGCCTTCTCGTGGCGGGGGTGTTGTGTACGAAAGTGAGAGGACGAAAAGCGAATGTCCGGCGCTATAACCGGATTGGTGGACACGGAGGGTCCACCTAGGGGAGTTGGAAAACCCTGATTCCAAACACATGGGCTCCAGTATCCTGACGGAACAAATGGCGTACGAATCAACCGTTGATCACCGGCTACCATGGGACTGCATCTCCTCACGATGCTCCACTGCCTCGTGGATCAGATATTCAGGTCAAAGGCTCCGGGTGTGGCCCCCTAAGAAAACCACCTGCTTCAGTTTGGGCACCTGGGCAATATCACAGCCCTCACACAAATCGAATGAGATTTGTGAGGCGCATATATATCTGGTGCTTCCTTGTACCAATATTTGTGTTTAAATAAATAAATAAATTACGGAGGGATCGAAGTCGATATCTGGCATCAAATCTTCCTGTAGTGGTGATCATAGTCGATCGTGACTGGACGCCTACTACAGATTGAGGAGAATTTTAGTGGGAGATCACATGAGGGAGAATAGGGTTTTCCACGTGTCAAGTATTTTACGTCTCTTATGTGAATTTGTCATCCACCAGAACATCGAATAACAGACCTTAAAATTAAGTAAAAAGGACCAATACTTTTGAAGGCTTTTGACGTTTGGAAAGCATATTTTTGATGTCGCTTCTTCAATCAAGTATAAAAGTTCATAAATTTAAACAAGCGTAATAATTTCATGATATTGTGCAAAATCTTTATAAGGCCATCAGCGTTGGTCAGCACTCATCAAACGAACACATCGTCAAGTTTGAAAAATAGGGGAAAATAATGGCGAAGGAATAGTATGACCGCTTATTGCACACAGTCTTGGACTGATGTCACTAAACAAATAAATGTTCAGCCTCGGCTACTCTAAGGAGAAGATTGAGCGATTCTGCTTCTAAAGCACAATTGGAGAACAAGTCTAATCTTCGGGGGGAAAATTGTATTTTGATGCCAGAAGGACATAGCATATTGACAAAAGTTGAAGTACACAATGGCTGGTCAATTCTTTTTAAGTATCGCTGACCTTAACGAAGTTTGGAAAACGATGTTACACTTACTGGTCAGATTTTTAAAGTGTGTAGATCCAAGTTAACGGATGATCTGGTTAATCACAATGATATTTTGGAGACTACATAAGAAGCTTGTGCAAACACTTTTCCTTTTAAAAATGTGATATTCTAAGAGTTATGTTGTTATTGTTTAGAAGTTGTGCGAACGTCAATTAGAACGTCTGTTATCTCTTTCGAATTAATGACGTTCCGACGAAGTCAATATTGCATTTTGAACCGTTAACCTTAGGATCCAGGAGACATATACTTCAACTCATCGAAATGAGTCCGTACGAAATCCGGAGAATTTAAGGTTTGAAAAAAATTTGTCTACAAATTTAATCTGATAGCACTAGTTGTCATCACTTAAGCATTTGATGTGGCGGTTATCAACTTGCCTAAAATGGTAGATGATCGTTCATTCCTGATCTATCTAAAATATCATTTCAACATAAAGAGCCTGAAACAATTATAGGTGATGACAATAGAATGCATAATATTTTTAAAATGTCAATTAAAGCGGAGTTTGTTTGTTCTCAAAATGTCCTTACGTTTCTACATGAGTGTCTGGATGTCCGCCCCAGTCTTATAAAAACTATTTATGATGTTGTTGAATCTTGGTGTCTTAAGTTTCTCTCTGTGTGCTACTTAGATGAGTTATTTGGCCATTACGACTAGAATAATTCATTTTTGTAATATATTCATTGCTTCCTTAACATGAAAGAGTCAAAAACATTAGTGAGAATACAGTGGAAGTATGACCGTTACGACCAACTATTTAGTAAATTATTGATTTCACGCATCATAAGTAAGTTGCTTGTTTAAACGACAAAAACATACAGTTCTTGGTACAGTCGTATATTGACAGTATACAACGTACTTCTCAAATATTAAACCCGTTCATGAAAATGACATGGTGCTTCTGAAGTATAGTCGTCACACTAAACGTCGGAATAGGGTATTATAAGTCTGATGGGTGGGAAATCCTTCCAAATACATCAGGATAAATTAAAGGATGGAACAAACCAGTTCACTAGTTGGAAACGAACAGAATATCCATGAAAGAAATTTTCATGATGATTAACTTGCTGTTAGAAGTGAATTCTGGAAGGAGTCATTCGTTCACCTTCAATGAAATCATTCAATGGAATACCAACTGTAGTGAACGAGAACACAAGTGGGGATAACCGAATGTTTTTGAACACAAACATACTGAACATCTTGGTAAAACCTGGGAACCATAGAAAAAATATTTATTTTGCAAAATGGTAATGAATTGTCTAAAACTTGACTGTTCCTATCACGAATATACAGCTACAATTTTCTCAGAATACATTCTTCTTTCATTTCCACATCGATAATTACTTGTTCTCGTCCTTTTTTGATATTCCTAACTTTCTACTCTAGGCATCTTACTGTCAGTGGGTGATACATACTACATACATCTGTTGAAATCAGTAGCACACACCACACAACCACATAGAAAAACACTAGAAATGTTCCTCTTGCATTCTGTACTGTAAATACAAATTTGGACACAAGTGACTTCATATAGATACCATGTTCATTTTTAATGCAATAATAAAATATTTATACCATATAACAAACTTTGACTTTCCAATACAGATTTTTACTTTTTCAAAATATGATCGTTGTACCGTCATTGATCTGCGGTTTTTCAAACTACTGACGGTGTTTTCATTATGAAGGGCTGTATACAGTGTTTAAGAGTCATACTAGTAGTTTTCAACTTCCTGGTTGTGGTAAGCGTTACCTAACATCATTCAAATGTTTTTAAATACTGGTGCTCCTTTTGACAAGATTGTGATTTCAACAATACACGACGAAATTTCACCATAGGAATAACTATTATTTACTCAGTCTCAAAAATGTCAGCTAATTAAGTTTTTAAGCTAGTAATTTTTAATAGCACGTTAACATCACTTCTGTAATATTTATTACCCGGTAGATATTATACTATAATCCTGTGTTAGTTTGATCAATATTTCTCTAAAAGATTGGAGCAATAATAACAGCGGAACCGTCCTGAGTAATTGTTTTCGGTCTGCATGGTGATGTTAAATTAACTCCCACAGTAAAATCATATTAAATGTATGGACGATGTCTAATACGAACCTCTGTAGTTTGTTTAGTATTTGATATCTGATAAATAAAATCCGTCTCCGTAGACTGATCTAACTGATTTTTTGTTAGATCAGTCATTCAGATTGAATGACCTAACTGACAATAAAATATCCCGTTTTGTTTGGAATGGCAAACATCCTTTTTTTAGCTGAAGGCAGTTTAGGGAGTTATCTATCATCAACTAACTATTGGTAACTTTTCTAGTCATTTGTTACACAAGTGTCATTGATGCTTCCCGGAAAGTCGGGGCAGCTGTTTTTGACACTATTTATGTTACGCAAAATATTTTGACATATCGTAGCGGCAAATAATGTTGTTGACTACAATATTTTCCCAATTTCGCTTCCATAGATGTATATTACGATATCATCTCACAAGTTAGATGACTTCCTCCCAAACCACTTAAAAACTTTTTGCCGTACGTACAAAACAAGATTCTACTATTCCGGTCTCTAAATGGAAAGTCAAGTTTACTTTGCCGAAAAAAGTACTCGGTAAACTAGAAGGCTAAATGCACCTTATGCATGCCAGTTCCGCTGCAAATCGATACAGTATGACATTTGAATTGCCGTAATTTTATGCGACTGAGGTATATAACGTGGTTTTAGGCGTTGTTCCAGTTTGAAGCAGATGATTTAGTTTTTAATCAAACAAGTCTTTAAGCCATCATATAAAACACGAGTCTTAAACATAAAACAACAAAAAGGCAATATCTGTTCTAATAATATTGTTAGTAAATAAGAAAATAAAAGTACTTTGTTCAAGATAAAACTTAATTGTAGAGATGTGTGATGATAATTTGAGTGTTTTGTTTTTTATTTTTTTAATGTGACAATTTTTTTTATCAATTATGGAAAAAATTAATAGTCTTATCTTCTGTTCTAATTTCTTTGTCTTGGTTCATATCAGACCTTTGTCCCATATCAAGACATGTAAAGTGTTTATTCGCTTATCATATCTCACTTGTGATTTTCATTGACTGTTCTGAACCCCATATGCATCATAAACTAGGTGATTTCTACTTTTGACTCCTTAGAGTAAAATCTCATAGTCGACTTTCGTGTAATATTTGAATGCAGACTGTCATTACGCTCCTCTTATTTTACCAGTGCAAATGGTTGTTGTATGTGGAAGTGTCTTAAAATAAATATGCAAGAATGGCAGTTTTTGTGGCTTTTTTGATGTCCAGCAGTATGAATAGCATGAGAGAGCATACGTTTTTGTTTCCGCTGTATTAGGACACAAATGGTTTAAAAGGAAGATATTTTCTCCCGTTTGAGCAGAAATATTTTGTTTCAATGCGGGTTTTAGAACTTAAAGCTAAAGATTATACATATTTCATAAGTCTTGACAAGTGGCTGTAAATTAATTCTTAATTGTTTTACGATGTGTTCAGTCATACTATAGAACGTAACTACTTCTGTAAATAATATTGAAAAAGCTATCTGTAAATGCCCGATCATTTAGGAAGTTAGGTAAATAGGTATTCCTTTAGTGTAACTAGATTTTTCTAACACTCGGTAATCAGTCAAACACTTCATTCTAGTACAGTTCTCCTTAAATTCACATAACATAATAACGCTTTACTTTTTTGATTAACTATTATTAATTTTTTTGTTGTGCTAAAACAATAAAACTTCTGTTTAAATTTTTATGGTTGCACCTTCTCTCATTCAGCTTATTGGGTTGTCAGTTTTGGGTTTCTCTGTTTACATCTACCTGGAACCAGAGGCACAAGACATCATACTTGCTTCGGGACAACAACATGCCGTACAAATAATGTTATATGGTCTTATGGGCATCGGTGGAATTACTTTAGTAATAGCGCTGTTTGGTTGTTGTGGTGCTTACCATGAATCCCAATGTCTTTTGGGAACATATTTCACTATTCTTATTGTGATCTTTGCAACTCAAGTAACAGGAGCCACATTGGGTTATTTATACAGAGAGGAGGTGAGTTACTTTTATTCAAAATATATTCTATTTATTGATAATCTCTTATTTGATTGTTATTTAACATTCGCTAGCATAAAACAAAATTTATAATTGCAACTTGTTGGCCGCTACACATATATTCATTGTCCTGTTTTTGTGTTCCATCAAAAAGCAAATATTTTAGAATATTTTAGTGTTTATTCAACAACTAATTGTGTATGGGTTGAAAATTCATTGGTATAACTGTTCTATGAGCTGGCTGGTTTGGTCGTCGATCATTCACCGTCCTTGTGAACAACATCATCATAACAGACTTCAGGTAGAGGGAAAAGTTTCGAATTTTTCCATATATTATTCCCAGCTTGTCCTGTAGACCTCGATATAGATTGGTTATTGTTGACCTTGAATCTGTCATTGTTTACTTTATTTTGATTGTATCTCCCATTGATTTGATTTTTGGTCCTATATTTGTCCATGATCTTCCTGATTGGTTGGTAGATTAGACCAATTTCAACATGTTTGTTGATTGGTGGTTGAATTGAGTGCCAAGCATGTGAAAGTTCTCTATCCAAGGTCTTAACATTTTCTCAGTCAAATATATGTTCACAGTTGTTCACATACATTATTGATATAAGCGAGGATAAATTATGGCGTTTCATCGCTATTTGATAATCGTTCTGGCAAAGATGAAAGTGCTGTCCACTTTGTCCGATGTAGTGTTTTTCTCAGTTGGAACAAATTATTTTGTGGATGGTGTTCGGTTTTTCTTCTTTTGTCATTTCGCCTTTCGGTTTGCATAGAGTTGATTATGGTGATTTTGTTGGTTTGTCTGCTACACCTATTCCAAAAGGCTTCAACAATTTCGTCGTGATTTTCGATGTCTTTTAGATATGGTAGGATGATCTGTTTGTTGATTTCTGTACTTGGTCTCGTTCCTGCTGATGCATTTGGTTGATACTTTTTGATGAAGTTGATTGAGTAGCTGTTTTTATGAAAGGCAGTCTTAAGATATTTTTCTTCATTCTTCTGCGCTGCAATTATGTTGCAGTGTTTCCTCATTCTCTTGAATAAAGTTTCTACGCAGTTGATTCTGTGAGTTCTTGAGTTGTTGCTACTGTAATTGAGAATCTGATATGTATGGGTAAGGTTCCGAAATACGTGAGTCTCCAGTTTTCCTGTGTCGGTTCTAGTGATTTATGCATTCAAGAATGTTGGTTTGTTGTTTGGATCCTGTTCCATTGTGAACTTTATGACATCGGAGACGTTGTTAGTCAGACTTCCATTATCTGCATCACTGTTTATGCGATAAGCCCTGATATTGGTAATCCCATTGGTGTTTCTTTCGCTTATTCGTAGGTTTTGTTGTTTAAGTGAAAACTTGTTGTTAAGCATAAATTGATGAGTTGTAGTAAAACTTGATTTTGAAGCTTCGTGTACTCTAGGAGATTTGTGTCGTTGACCAGAAGTAGGGATAACGTTTTCTTTGTTAAGCTTGGTTCAACTGAGGTGAATAGATTGATCAGAATATTTCCACATCAGTATCAAACAATATGGGTTCATGTAAGCAATCAGTTCTTGATTTTTTAAAATGGTCTGGTTGAAAACAACTAGAATAAAACATGATTGTTAATTCTAGCTAGTGTTAGCTTTTGACATCCTGTTTTGCAAAAATTATGTTAATAAATAACCTTAGTAATACCATTTCATTTTTATTTCTCAAACTTCCAAAAGAACTTTCATAAATGTATATCACACTAGTGGTCGTCATATTTAGTAATATATAGCATTGAGATTTAAAAAGTAGGTTTTATTGGGGAGTGTAATTGAATGTAGGTGTTTTGCCTACTAAAATGTGAAAACTCTGTACATTGCTACAGATACCAGGGTTGTCTCTCAATTGATTATGTTACAACAACTACCTCCTGTCCTCTATTCTTCTATTTTATTTTATGCAACTGGTCAAACCAGTTTTTCAAGAAAACACAATAGGAAATCGTCATCAGCAACAGGGACTTCCTTTAGTTACAAGAATATTTTCAACTGTCGAATCCTTAGAAATTCGATGTTAGTGGTGAAAATAAAGAGATGAATAAAACAGCGCATCAATTACTTGTTTTCTTATTACTTTGACAGCTGCATCTTTTACGCAAGATATAACTACACTCATCAACTCCACAATGTTGATGAGTGAATTGCGATGGATAAAATATATATGAACACCACAAACCACTGAGCAATAGGCTCATAACATTTACTTGGTAAATCACCTTACTGGTGATTCTGATCAGTATGTTTGATTATATCCAGTGAAAAGGTGCTATATACTACATAAGGCTTTATACAAAATACTGTATTCTTATCGGTACTGAAGAAATCATCTTAGTTCTATTTTACTACTATCAGAATCCACCATATTTTTTGAATGTGTGCTAAATCTATCTGAATAGTTACATGTTAAATTACACTGTTCTGTTATATTTAATATAAGGACAACAAATTATCGTGCAAACATACTACTTCATGGTACTGCTACTCTACTTTCAGGTTACTGAATTTAATTGAATAATACATCGGAACATGCTGTAGGTGTTATTTGTTTACACATGAATCTTAAAAATCAAAAATAATTTTAGTAAATAGACATCAGGTAACCAGAAATAATTTTCACCTATTAGTTGTCATGATTATTCATTACCTCAGTTATACGTCATAAAGTTAAGAGGAAAGATACTTATTAGACATAGAAATGAATGTTTTGCTTGACATGAGCGTACATACATATACATTAAAAAGTATGAATTTTTGCAAATTTGAACTATTGCTAATTAGTAAATATACGATAACATGTATAAGTGTATGCAAAGCAGCTCGAATGAGTACCTAAACATCTTACCAATACGTACACCCATAATTGAATAACTTCCAGATAAAAACTCATAGAATACTGTGTATATATAAACTAGAAATTCACTTAATAATGTTAAACTTTATTCCTTCATTAATTATGTGCATAAATAAATATGCTTAGTTCTTCTGTCTTCAGAGATGTATACATTGAAGCTGTTTAATGCATGGAATATCCGTAAACTGAAAGAGTACAAACATCTAATTATGCATGATTTGAACATCTAATTGTTTCATGCTAATGCGATTGGTAGGAAGTAGTTGTAAGAAATCAAATAAAATCTGTTTACACCTAAACTAGTTAGCTGCAAATGATGTAAAACTTTTTACACAACCCATCTATTATAATAGGTTTATCATGTATGAGTTGATATGTTTTCATGTACTTGTCTGTAAACGTTTTTTTGGAAGTATTAGTTAATAGGTAGAATTTTGATGCTACTTTTAGTACAGACCTAAGGCAGGGAACATCTCTAATCAGCGAATTATTTTCCATCCAACTTTTTAATTAAATTATTTGACAGGACAGCAAATAAATTGTTTACATATTTTACAGCTTGTCGCTAAAGAGCATATATAAGCAATAAGTAAAGCAACAGGTACCAGATCTTTACAAAATGTGGTGTTCGATTAGCGATTTTTATTCTCACCGCTTTTATGTAGAAATAAGATTGTAAGGTTTATATTGTTTGATACAAAAGAATACTGGAAAAGTTTTGTGTAGTATAGTAAAATCTTCACGTTGAAAGAATTCAGTAGCCTGAAATTTAACATTTAGATCTATCGTTTATCTAAATGTAGTAAATTTCAGTGTTTAATGATTTTCCATCTGTACTACTACTATTACTACGACTAATACTACTATGATTTATGGGTAACGTACGCAATAAGCTGTCACAAAAAAGAACATCAGACATTATCTCTTTTTGACCTGACTTATATTTAAATATCAGTTAAGCTACTTTTTTGTAGCGATTAACGCTTACTGCGTTGTTATGTTACAGGTGACAAGTTTTTAAGTGACAAACCTATGTATCGTATATTGTTCAATACTCCATATGTCCAAATTAAAGTTTACTGTGAATAAAGTAAATAAATATGTTAAGCACTCTGTTGGATTTTCCTAAAATAAATAATACATTGAATGAGTGGCGTCATTTGGCTGTAAGATGGCAAATAAGATGTTTTTGTAGTTTTTGAAATTGTTGTGTAGTGGGATTAAAGTTTATACTGAGAATGTTCACTCTATATTTTTGAGGTTATATGCTGAAAATGTAATTAATAAGGTTATTTTCTACGCATATCCCACTTTATTTGAATGATAAAATTAAAATGTAAAATCCATCTGTAATCGTTTTGATTTTCTATTGATTTGAAGCACCATAGCACAGCTTATACTTACGTGTCCTAATAGATATCACATTGTCATTAATGACAGTCTCTCATTTATTGTGAGTTTATCTGTCTACATGTTATTTAATTAAGTAAACATTCGAAGTTTTACCACTGGATAACCAGTTTTTGTGTCGTTCTACTTGATATAGTTTTAATAGTCAGGGTAGCTGCTAGAACACACGTTTTATTGATTGATTAGTTTATGAACATAAATTATTTGGTGAATTATTTTAAATGTTTTAGTAATCAAATCTGGTAAACTTACAAAGAACCGTCATAATCGTCTATTAGCAACACTTAATACAACTTACATGAATTTATTTCACTAATATTCTTTCATTTTATATTATCTATGCTCAGAACTAAGTAGTATCTATTTAAGACATAACTTTTTTGAAACAAATGTGTTAGTAACTTTCGTTACTGACTGCCATCATTTGTAAAGACATTGAAAATTATGAAACTATTGGTTTTTATTCTCAGATATCTGATAACACTAATTTATTATCACCCGCTTTATAGGATAAACAGCATAATTAATCTTTTCTATAGTACTCTAGTTTATATTATGTTGTGATTAAATTAACTTACAACTTCTCACGCATGTAATTGATTGAAAAGATGATAATAAAGTAGAGAATTTGTCGGAACTTGTTTTTATTTTTAATATTTTCGAATATTTGGTGAAAAGTAAAAAAATATTTTTTTTGTAGTAAATATACATTTTCACTCTTCTCATTCACACACAGAAATAGAAAGAGTTTATAAAAAAAATTATTTTTGTCCAAATATAGATTATGAAATATGTCGATGATCGTATGAGAGAAGGTATTGAAGAGTATTCAATGCTACGTGATCAACGTGAAAATCCCGTACCGTTTATGGATTCAATTCAACGTATGGTAAGTTATTGTTTTGTCCGAAAAATTTTATCGATATTATTTCATGTTAAAACTTGTTTATTCATATTTGTTGTTTCCGTTTCTAGACATTGAATATAAATAAATAATATTCTATAAAAATTAACCAAGTCGCACAGTGTATTATTTATTTATATCGGTCTCACATGCGAGATTTATTCATAAATTTTATTAATTATTCTCACCAGTCTGAAAAATGACACATGAATAAGAAAAGTAAATGAAGTTTAGTTTCGCTTAGTGTGCTGACATTTTCAGTTTTTGAGTTTCATATTAATTAAATTTCATATCAGTTTGTTTGATATTTATTATTTAAGCTTTTAATAAATTCAGTTAGTAATTATAGAGGCGAGGTCGTGGACACGCACTGCTGAGGAGTCCCACAATAGGACGAAACGGTTGTCCAATGCTTCCATGTTTTCCCTGGTGGTCTAGCTTCAATTGACTCACGCTTTCAACTATGAATTATAGAATTACATAATTTTGATGATTAACTAAAATATACACGGCATTGCTAATCGTTTCTTAGTTCAGTCACTGTAACTGATCTACTGTGAATTATTTCTATTCAAGAGTCCAATTTAATTATGTGAAAGTTAAATCTTCAAAAAATTACCAATAAAAAGAAAAACAGTGAGAGCACGTTTGCTATCAGTTTAGTTTTATGTGATATCATAAAGCCTGGTAGGATTCACTGTATGTGAGGGGTATAATAACAGTCATTTCATAACGTTTTATCCTTGTAAATAATAACTTAGGAAACTACATAAGGATATGCCTTGTTTGTTCAGTTGACAATATAGCTGGATGTTTTGTTATAACATTTTTCTCTTGATGAGTTTGAATAAAATAAGAACAAAGGATGTGGTAGCAAAATATAAATTTATTCCTCCCGTGAGTTTTCTTCAGCTGCTTAAAATGTTAGATACAGTGGTAATGATTATTTAGATCACGTATTAATACTTTGCATCATAATAGTGAAGACTGGTTAAAATTTGACAATAGATATGGAACGATTATGAGAGAACTCTAGTGGTTAATCATTTTCAAAATCTTTCCAAATTAATAATACACAAGCAACTTCAAATATTTTTAATGTTCTGCTGGAGTCGTCTCTATTGAAAGGGTGAAACCGATCCCAGGCATCCAAAGGGAGATATACTTTTAAATCCCTCACTATCCTAATGACTCCAACTTCCATTAACAGACTGCATCATACCTTATTTCATGCTGTCAACTATAAATTCCCTTCCTTCCTTCTTGTGTCATTTTCTTGACTTTACTCATTTTATTCTGTTGTTGTTATCACGCAACTTTTTACATTAATTTTCATTTTAGAGAAAACTGTCCCCACGTATTCTAAATTTTCTTATTAGCTAGCATGTATATGTTCTTTAGAATTATTATTCACTTACTGACTTGATTTTGCTAATCTCCGTGTATATGGATAGATTTTAACCAAATTACACAATTGTTTTCAGGTTGAAAGTGAAAAGAAATCACGAAACAATCAGAATTCCGTCAATGTATAAAGCTGAGTAAATATGAAATGATATCGGTACTCAAAATTCAGTCCAAAGTTTGTAATGCACGGCAATGATGTTGATTATCAGTTTTCATATTTACTTGTAAACGCGTTCTAATCAAGTGATTATATGTTTGCCATCATATAGCTAAGTTTATAGAGCATCAAACTGATCAATAGAGCAGATAAATTAAGAGACTAAGAGTAGTGAAGATTGAAAAAATGAATATGTTTTAATCGTTTACTTCTTAAAATATCAAATTAGCGTTCACTCACGACTAGTGGGGCATTCTGTATGGGAACTGCCTACTGATCTTAACCTCTCATTTTTGTAAAAGTGAAAGGTGTGAAATATCGACTTTTAAAAAATCCCCATATTTTTACTAATTAAATTTCTCATGTTGATGGATCAAATTGATTCGACACTTGTGAACTTTCTTGTTTATATACAGATGACTGTAATGTATATTCATAATCATGTAATAGAAATAAATTGTACAAAATCGAATACCTAATACCTGTGTGTTTAACGTTTTCTTTGTGACTGTCTGTTTTCTAACTGGACAAAGTGACAGGCGGGTTTTATCTTCCTTATCTAAATACTTTCACTTTTTTAATTTTTATCTTTGTGTAGCTGCGCTGTTGTGGTGTCAATGGTTACGAAGATTACCGTGAAAGTATACCCATAGCATGTTGTGATCATCATGTTAGCACATGTCTAAATGCATTACTGTCACCCGAAGAAGTTTATAAAGAAGTAAGCAATTTTGTTAAAATACTGGTTAAATTTCTCATTTCACACGTTTTAAGTATTCATACTGAGTTTACATTTAAATGACTGTTTGTCATATAAGTTTATAATTTTTGCTAAATATTATTGATGGAAGAATTTATGCTTGTTGGCATCTAACGATAGTATGTATCTAATATTACGGTTGGGATAGAATGTTTTGTGCAGAGCTGTGTAGACATGGATTCGACTTACTAATATTTCAGTAAACCATAAAACAGCTTCATAAGAATTGTCTCTTAGTGTAAAATTTAATACAGCTATTTCCTAAATCATAGGTGATGTTTGAAGTTTACGTATTCGACATTCACGTGCCAGTGGAAATGAGATAAAAGACAGGTGTAGCTAAGAATTCCCAAAGTCTCGGTGTGGATATATATATATATATATATATATATATATATATATATATATATATATATATATATATACTGTAGCAGAAACTCGATTCATATGGGCTTTTCTGGACACCTCATAGCTTGGATGTTCGGTCACACTAATAGTAGTTTCACACTAAGTGTCGAAGGTGAAGTTGTGTTAATCAATTAGGGCCCCAGCCACAGTTCTTAGTATACAGCTTTTTAAAATTAAAAAGAAACTGACAAGGGGAAAGTTTTCTTCTGATGTTTTTCTTTAGGCCTCAACGCACTACAGGTTGGACGCACTTGAAGGTGACTTAGTTAGCTAAATGAATGACTCCAACAGAGCGCGTTTGAGAGATATTACCCTAGTACTAGGATTTTTCAATCATCATTTTCAGTATAATTAGCCGTTTTATATCAAACTGGTTTACTTACTTACTTACTTTCGCCTGTTACTCCCAATGGAGCATAGGCCGCCGACCAGATATCAAACTGGTATTGAGTGAAATTTGTTTCGATAATATTGTATTGTTTTTTAAAAGTTATCAAGAGAAATGATAATAAATATACTCTTTGGACGATTAATTTGATTGTTGTGTCAGTAGGTTTTTAATTTATAGTCAGTTCAATCTTTTTGGGGACAGTTAATTTATCAGAACTAACTGGGTAAGTTCAGAAAGCTTTTTGAGTAACACGTTGAGTGGTTAGGAAAACAGACAATAGGATCCACTAAATAAATACTCATTACTGCCTTTTAGTTAGAGTTACAGATTTTGTGGCTATATTTACCAGAAATTAAGAAAATCATAACCATTGTAGGGATATAAGTTGTATGATTAAAAATAACTAGTTCTCTCAACAAGTGAATGGTTTTAATAGACAAAAATATTGTGAATTACTTTATGGGGAATTGAATTATGCATAGAAATGCTTTAACATCTATCATCTGCCAATCAAAATAGATATTTATACGTAAACATAAATAATGTATTTTTGACTATCCATTTTCTGAGTATTGTCCATGTATCCAACGTGTTTTTAAAAAAAAAAAGTAACTGCAAAATTATTAAAAGCAAATTAATCAGCAACTATAACAAATCAGTTTCTTTTTTAATACAGATAAGATCTTTACATTTATGCACAAATTTAAAATTGACGTCCAATCAACAGTTGGATCGTTTTACTAGTTATTCAATTGTGTATCTTTTTTTATACACTATTGATTTAATGACATGGGAGTATTCAATAAATATTTAAATTATTTAAATATCTCTGTCATTTACTATTCATTATTACAATTGCATAAATTGCATTATCCATTTTAGTTTTTTCAGTCTATCGGTAGATTTCATGTTATCAAGCAATTAAATATTCCTAATAATTAAAGCAAAGACATATGAACGTAGAGTATTCGTTTCAGTAAATTTTTATGTTCAACTATTACTATTTCGAATAATTAATCAAAACGTATCTCCAGTTTGACGACATTAATTTCTAATAATCCAGTTTATGAATCTAGGGATTGTTTGTAAATGTTGCAATGACATTGTAAAACAAATGAAACCGTACGATTAATAAGTGAAATAGATGCAGGTTAGGGGTGGTCAAACGAAAACGTGGCATCAGTGTTTTAAGTCGCTAACTCTTGGTCTGAGCCATGTTGGTAGATGCAGACTACTTGGTTGGGGTCCGCGTGACTATTGTAACCAACGGTTGGAGACTGTGGGTGACATGGCTCAGAATCGATCACGATGGCGTAGGTGTATACACTCGCTGTCTCCCCTTAAACTTTAAGATTAAAATTGCCTCAAAACTATCTTCCTGTATTATATCCTTATATACAATTTTTCTTTAATTTATTACCACCATTGAAGTAAGTACTATGAATTTCGTGTTAATCCTGTTGTGTTAATGAATGATGTGTGGCAACTTAGATCGATGCATATGTGTGCCTCGTCCTACGTTGTAGTTGACTGACTGATTGATAATAAATGTATTAGTGGTCTGGCTATCATCATTGCAACAAAGTAGATGTACGCTTAGCATCTAAATTCGTTTAACGTAAAATACGTGTTGTGTCATCGTAGATGAAAGAAGGCAATTCAGCAAATAAAATTTTCATTTCGATGATTTCATTTACTTCAGCTATACAATCGTATTAATTTTATTTGTTAAAATAGTGGCCTTTAGTGATATAGAATGGTGTTGAATTATTAAAAAAGACTTGAACTGGTGTCGCAATATAATTGCAACGACACTATAATTTATGGACGAACCAATCACGTATAAGATAACAGGTCTCGGATTTTTGCACGAAATTCATTCATCCATTTGGATAAATGAAGTTTTGGATTTATAACTGATGTCAGTTCGTGATAAAAAACCCAAATCTGATTTCTAGTTTTAATCAACAACTGTAAATCATAATTCTAATTCATCACGTAGGTTTATAACCCTCATTTGGTCCTAGTTATTAGGTGGACACTCTCAAAGTCAGTCTAGAGTCGCTCAAAGGTCGTCCATAAATTATAGTCTCATCTGAATTGCTCATGAAAATCAGATATTGACAGGAAGTTATATAAAAATTGGCCAATGAAAAATACTAAAGTGAAGATAACTGTCCACTTGATAGCTAGTAAAAACAGAATAATTAAAATTTATAAATATGACTAGTTAATAGCTATAAAAATCTTTGGAAAAGAGTAGAAATATTAACAAAAAAACCTGTAGATTATAGCAGATAGAAAAGGATGGTTAAGAACCTGTAAGCATGAGGGACTGAATATATTGTTCTTGTACGCAAAGGTTAGGCTTGAAGTGGTGGATAACCATAACCTCTGTTGTAAATAAGTTTTTCATTTGTATTCATTTGGAGCGGACTCATTTGAACTTATGTATGTTATTGAAGGACGCTTCTAGTGAAACGGAGTGGCCGGAATTGACTGTAAGCTCCAAGATAAAGCTTTTGACTGACTTTTGTAATCGTGTAGAAGGTCAGACAATATAATGCTCGGGAATACGTTTAGAAAGGACTCGCCTTGTGCGGCTAATATAACCTGCTTCACATGATAGATACACACTGATTTGATCCAAAGAGGAAGCTTATCTTTCACACAACTACGAATCATAGGCTGAATAGAAAAGATAATAGTAGGTCCCGCCCAATAGAATGTCTTTCTAAGAGACCTTGAAAGTCTGCTTCTCATCATCTCTGCTGCACTATCTCTTCTAAACTGAGTGTTCATGAAAAGAGTTTTGTTTGGTGCTGTGGACATTCCTTCATGTTGTTGCTTTGACTTCAAATCTTTGTCAGTCAGTAAAAGTATTTCTTATATAGATAGAAGCTATCAACTTTCGGTATAATTTTAATGTTTTCGTTATCTAGTATTAAACAGTCAGCTAGAAGTGGAGCGGATGGTCACTGCACCGCTACTCCGTCAGTTGGTCTATAGAATTCATCATTAAATTCAACATTCCACAGCCTATTCTCTATTATTAAGGTTTCAGAGAGTTTGTTCGTTAACAAGCTTCTGTAATAAAACAAATCAGTTAGAATTATTTTTAATCAAAGCTTTTACTGTATGCTTGAATCATGAGATCTTTAATTGTAACTTTATTGTTAGATAAAATCTAAAGTCTTGACAACCTTATTTCATTTTACTTCCTCCTTATCTGACCATTCATATGATCATTGTACATAAACTATGGATTTCCTGTTTATTGGAATTTAAGATTATTTTTAGTAAAAACGTCATTGGTCTGAAAAATATTAATTTAAAAAGTCACAATATTTTTTCGAATTAAAATTTTGAAGCGTCAGACTGCTAAACTTCTATATAATTCCTGTTCAGTAATGTGCCAAGAGTAATTGGTCTCGACTATTGATGAAACCACATCAAATATTGCTTAGATTCCGAAAGTTATAAATGTTTATCATTTACAGTTAAAGGTCAACATGTTTCACGATTCACTAAATGACCCACGTACCACGGAGTTCTCATTTTCTAATCCCTGATGCTTTTTAAATATTTATCTCGACGTAAGATCAAAAGCATTGTTTAGTTTGTTAAAGCGTTCCAAAGAAATAGTCATGTCAAAATGATATCACAGTATTAAGTTGAAATAATACATAGTAAAATAGTCATATGTAATTTCCAGATAAGAAATAATTAGATTGACACCACTAAATAACATACTAGATGCTAAGTGTAATCCAAATTAAAATGTATGGTTTCATTGAAATCATGAACTGGTCTAAGTTAGACCATAACTGAAAATCTGGAGGGCTTGGACGCCAGTTTGATCCTCGTATGGGACTTCTCACCATTATGTATCAATGATCTCACATGAAAAGGGGATTGGGGACCTTCGATCTCGCGCGAAAAATGAAATCCAACAATTTCCTTGACTCCATAATTAAAATTATCACGTGGTCAGTAGTGACTAGCTTCAAGAGAAAATTTCCGGGGTTCCTGTAAGAAGTCGTGACCAGTGAAGTTCAGCCGTTCGGTGTCAGGTAGTTACCCACTGAAGATAGTGGAAGATACTCACTCATTATCGTGGGTTAGTTAAAGTTAGACATTAACACCGTTGGATGCCGCCTCATCGGTCTAAAGGTTAAGGGTTTGCGCGCGAGACCGAAGATCCTGTGTTTAAGTCCTGCGTGCGGGATCGTGAACGCACACTTCTGGGTGGTCCCATACTAGAACAAAACGGCCACTAATGTTTCCAGGTTTTCATTGGTGGTCTAACATTGATAGGTTCGCGATTTTAATGAAATTCAATAATCTCCACGACCTCATACTTGAAATCTTGGTATTGAACAAAAATACCATTTAGAATAACAAATTCATAGTTTGTTTAGTGTTTTGTTATTCGAATAGCTCATGTTACGTGTTATTATTCCATTTAGGACTAATGATGAGAAAGTTCAGTTATAATTATATACTTGTTGCGAACGATAAATCTGATAAAAATAATACTCTTGCCTCCTACAAAAAAACACCACTAGTAACATAAGACTATATAACTTCATTTTTCTGAGATAAACATCGTATCCGATTAACTCTATGTTAGCTTCTATGATTCTAATGTTGAGTAATGCATGTTTGAATTCTATGGAAAGATTGCAAACAACTAGTATGAAACCTACTTTCCTTCAACTGTTAAACATTAGATCACAGGGTAGACTTGACGCAGTGTCGACTAGACAAGTTATTACATTCTCGGTAATGATTTGATTTGTTTAAAAATAAACTAATAAAGTGATTTCTTCATTTTAAACTCGGAAATATGAATATGAATTGCTAAATCATGATAATGTATTTAATAAATAATAATTCAATAATTAAAATGCCCTAAATTTATCAAAAATTTGTTATTAGGTCAATCAATAAAGTTGTAGGAAAACAAATCTTATTCTAATAATCATCCGTACTAAAACAACAACAACAATTATGGTCGAATTGTTATTTACGAGTATTATGCCCATAACTATTAGCTAAGCTATTTTGTAATTCATCAAATCTAAATGATTTAGGTTGTTTGTTTGTTGTTATTTGTTCATGCATATCCCATGATTACTACTAATTATTTATTGAATGAAGAACTCAACTATTTTGTTCTAGAGGTAATCAGCATTTTAAATGATAAATTGTTAGAAAGTAGGAGTTGCTTTGTTCGCTTTCTTTGCACCTCTTTTTGTTAATGTAATATTTTTTATACATTAGATTATAAGGTCAATCATTAACTGAAAAAGTATTTTGACATAAATTTTTCCGTACTCTGATGCAGATTGATAGTAGTTAAAAATTCACTTTGAAGTTAATGTACCTATCACAGGATCAAAAGATCCAATGGTGCACATTGGTAAGGAGTCAGAACTATGACGAAATTTGTTTAGCGTTTCTTAACTTTAGTAATCTTCCAGTTGATATCAGTTGGTGATTACAATCGGTACAAACTCCAGAAATTACTCAATATTTTATTTATTTATTGATTACATTTATAATATCAATGATGATCACAATTTTCTTCACATTATTGCCGGAATGTGAAAGTGGACAACTACTTAAAGACAATAATAATGATATTTATACAGTTTTATCTTGGAAAATTAGTATTTTATATTATTATACCTGCTTTTCTTTTACTCAGAATGTTGAAATCCCCTTCTTTCAATGTTTACAAGCTAATTTACAGTTACAGCTTTCATTTTGACTACTCATTGATTTATTCATTGTTTACTCAAAAGAGTAAGAAAAAAACTATCAGTATTTATACATGTTTATATATGTCGATTGGAAAGCATAAACAGTTCCGAAAGATATTAAATAGGAATAATATATTTGTAAAATCTCAGTGAATGAATTTGAAGTAAATCCAACGTTTCGCCTGGCAATCTGGTTCAAGCTTTTTAGATTGCCAGGCGAAACGTTGGATTTACTTCAAATTCATTTGCTGAGATTTTACAAATATATTATTTCTATTTAATATCTTACATCAACTCGGGGGTCAAATACTGTGAAACTATTCGCTCTAATTTAGACGGAAGTTCTTATACAGTTTCGAAAGATTTTATGGATTCTGTGTTATTCAAATTAAAACCGATAAGATTAATTTCCGACATTCATATTACCAATAATATAAACAGACTATACATTTAAGTTTCATTAATGTGTATCAGATTTTTGTTGTTGTTCTTCATTGATTGTGAAATGAACTTCATTGTGTTATAAATGTCATTTTTCATTGTTTGTTTTCCCATTATGTTATGACATTTTCTTTGTGACTTTATTATTTGATTATAAGTAACAAGGATCTTTTGTTGCTTTTATTTCCAGGGTTGCAAAGATAAATATAAAGTAATGTTGAAAGATAAATTGGTCATTATCTTCCTTGCAACTGTTTCTATTGCAGCTTTTGAAGTAAGATAAATTAATGTTTGTTTTGTTTTACAGTTTACTTACTTTATATATATATATATATATATATATATATATATATATATATATATATATATATATATATATATATATATATAGGTCTCTGCTTGATTTGGTTGGAATTGTCTATTTAACTAGGAAATTGAAAGCCTTCAATTTATAGTCACTCTATTATTTCAGAAATAATGATTCTTCCAGAGAATATATTTATTTTGTAGTATCAATGAATGATTATATTCAGAGTTACCTCAAAGTCTTGTAAGTAGTGGGATTTTTATTTGTTGGTACATTGTACACAGTAATTATCCTTCACTCTCCACTTGTTTTAATTATTTTCCTATCCATGATATTAGTAAGTCTAATAACTTCATATGCCTTTGTATTCAGATCAATCTGATATTTGAAATTATTCTGATAATCATAAAAAAAAATAATATACATTACATTTAGTGCATAGTGTAAGCCTTTATGATTATATATATATATATATATATATATATATATATATATATATATATATATATATATATATATATATATATATATATATATATATAAGTGCAGTGTATATATTTTTTACCTAACAAACTAATCCAATCTTAGTTATTGTTTACATTAGCAAATGTTCACGTTTATACGCATATATTACAAAATTAGCATTAATATTACTACTAATCATAATAACATGTTCGGTACTTAGAGAAATATCCGACTATACATTAATGAACTGTAGTGAATATACTAACTTATTCAAATGTTTATCATGAAAATCGGCAAATGATATACGATGTACTAATATAGATTATATGACTTCTTTAAATGTTTTATATATATGTTTGTGTATGTGCGCAGATGAAATTGTTTAGTCTAATGTATAAATATACATATGAAAAATAGGGTACATTCACACATATATCCTTTTACCAAGTTAAATGAATTTTGATGATTTAGAAAATAATCTGGAACTTTATTGTTCACGTTTATCACATTTCTTCTCAGTTTCGTAACGATTTTCCAGTATACACTGGCAACTGTCTTCAAGTTTAAAATGCATAAAATTACAAATATCGAAAATTTGTTTGTTCGTTTGTTTTTAATTTAATAAGCTATGTGGTTTGGCAGTAAAAGCTTGGTTCATGTTATGTTGTAGTAAAGAGTAAACAAACGATGAAACACTTTTTTCTTAGTTTGGTTGTAAATATTTCCTTCAAAATTAATGAGTCAATTTTTAAAAACGGATTTTTTGAAAGCGTATTGTTTACTTGGATCATCCCATTGATGTTCCGGACTGCAATCGATCAGTTTCTTATTGACATTTGTGCATACTGTGCGTATTGCCTCGACATAGCCTCAAATCACAAGCATTATAAGCAAAGATGGATAGTGGCTAGCAGTGGAATCCAGAACGCGCATTTCACCTCATTCGGGACTCGTCAGATGGTTGTATCTGCATCCCAGAGCCTCAGAAGGAACGTCAATTCTAAGGTGCAGGTAAATCCAGCCACTATCCATCTTCGCTCATAATGCTCGTAGAATCTATGGTTTAAAATTGTTTACTGTGTTGAAAATGAATATGCATACATTACCTTGTTCTAATAAATTACACCACTTTCTGTTTCCGAATTTATTTTTACATTACCCTTTTTGATAAGTTTCTATTTGCTTACTGTTCATTACGGATTGATAAACTTCTGTGGATCTTAGCTATTGAAAATGATCAGATAGACAGAGACTGAGTAACGGGAAATTTTTAAACTTCAGCAGAGGATGTATTTGCTAAGGAAGTTTTGATTTATTCTAACAACTCTTTAGAAGGTGAATTTGGGATTGTCCAAAGAAAATATTCAACTGGTAGTGTAAAGGACTGATTTTTCTTAGTCGGTAGTGATATTTGACAATAGACTTAGTTACTAACCACCTAATATTCCGCTGTGTACTTCATGCAAATTTAAGAATATCAATCAAGGAAACTAGATTGGAGAGTTGGTGTTTTCATTCATATCAAAAATATTTATCAGTAAGGTGATTCACTGTTCGTCTGCTATCAGGATTTTGCATATTTTACAAATTTTAAAAGCATCACCATTGCATTATTCCCTTAATTTGTGTGAACGTGTTAACTCAATAATAATGAGTACTTAATTCTCATCTATTATTTGTAGCTTCCTTATTCTATTCTCTCTTGCCTTCTTGCTTACTACAGAATTTCCATATAGAAAGATATAATCACTTAACATTGAGGGAAGTATCGAAAACTTTCCCTTATGGCCGTTAAGAATCTATTTTGATTTCAGTTGAGAATGATCCCCTTTAATTTCATATATTACTTAGACTTAATTTTGTTGTATTATTAAATGAAACCGATTCCCTCTTTGGATCAATAATTTGGATATATAATTGTAGAACCTGAAGAGAATTTATTCAAAACAATATTATTCTTTCGAATCATTCGTTTTTCTCAGATTATCTCAATAACATGACATAAAAAAACAATACAAAGTATAATATGAAAATATGTAAGATTAACCAGCTCAACGGATCAGAAATGTACAAGGCAAGCTTCCAATGAATTATGTTTTAAGTGTTCACTCAATCTATTCACATATCAAATAAACAAGGGTTTATGTAGCTCAACGGACATTTACGTGCACACATATATTGAAAATGCAGACTAATGTAATGTGACTATTTGTGACATCTGAACGCATACAATATAACCAAAAGGTTACAATGATATGTGCAACAGTCACGTTTAATATCATTTCACCCAAGAGTTTGTATCACTCTATCATGTCAATTTATGATATGAATACGAATTTGAATAAGTGTTTGTTATACTCCAAGCATGTAGAATTGATACAACTATACAGCACTGATTGTTTATACTTTCTTTTAACCTACTACTCAATTGTACCACAGATCTTTTTTAGTTATAAAAAAATAAATCAAAAAGTATCTACTTTCTATTTTAAATACTTTTTTTTCGAAATCCTATTTTTATAGTAGATGGTAGGTGTAATGATTCGATTTTAATATTTTTTTTTGTAGATATTTTGTCTTCTGTTTTCAATGGTTATGTGTTGCACAATTCGACAATATCATTCAGATTATTATGGAGTCAATTATTCAATTGCTACTTGATCAACGGGAGTTCTGTTTCTTTTCTTCTAATTAGTATTATTTTTTACCTAATATACCACCAGGTACTTTTTGATTATTTTCATGTTTTGTTGTTTTCCAATTTTACTTTCTTGCTTTTGTTGCTTCTTGTTGTTCTTATTGTCATTTAAAAAAATTGTTTCTCCGATGATTCAATAACAACTCTGCATTTTTTTATTTCCTTTATTTCAATCGTAAAAATTTTGAAGTTGGTGTTTTGTGCCATCCATTATTCTGATAATACTTTGTATTAATTTATCGAATGAATTCGGCACTTGTTTGTAAAAGCCACAACAAAAAACATCGAACTTCTCTCTAGTCTATGTTGATGAGTGTAATTTCGATAAGGATTATTTGTCATTTCCTATTTTATTAAACTAATATAAGTTAAATGTTATGTCATTGCGATTTATAATGCTCATTTCAGCTATCCTCTCTGCTTACATAACTTTCATTAAATTTTATTCTGAAAGCAATAAATTGCCTGTTTTGTATTTATCATCGTAATATTTATTAAAATTGTTTTTTTTTATTGGAGTCAGTTTCTTAATTCACATAAACCATGTAAAACATGAATGTATTGTTTGACATTACCCCCCCCAATTCCTTCAATCATCAGTCATCATACTTATTAAAAATTCTTTTAAATCATGTGGTAAATTTATAATTCTGTAATTTTTTTTGTAGACTGTTGATCATTCTATTTAGTTAACCGAGTGAATAAATTAGTAATTTTATTCTATTAATTCTTTTAAGTCTCTTTTCTTATTTCAATTTTTTTTACTTGGCTTATTATTATTACTATTATCGTTCATCCATCTGTGTCCGATTCTCTTGTGTTATGTTTGCTTATTGATTTTTGTTTTCTACATCTTGTTCAAAGAAATTGTCTTCACATACTTCTTTGTGTTGGTTACATTTAGCTTATACCAACACGTACACACACTCACACACGTTTGTACAGTGTTCAGAAAAGTAGATGACAAAGAAAAGAGAAAAACTGTTAAGCAAGATATATGCGTTTTATTGAACATTTGTTTTTTCTGTTGTTGTTAATGTTTCTGTTGTATTTTGCTGTTGTTATTCTAGTCATCGTTGCTCTTTTCAAGCGTATTCAACGTTCTTTTTAAAAGGTAATATTGTACACATTTCATGCAAGTGGTAAATAACAAAACAAAAGATAAAATATTAACCTACTTTCTGTCGCTATATATCTAAATGTAATGGGGACAAATAAAACTAGTTTGTTCTTGAAACTTATTGAAAAATTGATTAATGTAAGTGACTAGGTTACAAAAAAATGCCTTGAGGTTTATTAGACTAACTCACTAAGCGATTAGACAATGACTATCAATCAACTGTGGAAACTTTATAATTAGTGCGTATGTATGTGTTATTGAGGTGAATCAAGGTTACAGTTAGTCATATAATTTCAAAACTTAAAATAAACCTATACATAAAAACACCCAAACTATAACTTATAATAAGTTATACTGCTAATATTACTACCGACTACAGTAATTCTTTTCCTATGCTGCTGTCAAACATCTTGTTATTAGCACCAAAAGCATGATTTTTTGTGTGATTGTATGCTGCTTTACTAATTTTAAAATTGATTTTTAAGTTTTTATCTTTAATATAGTTCACAACTTCCGAGTGAATAAGCTAACTGCAGTAAACTTTTGTTTCTCGTTGCCCTGTTGTTTTTCATCCGTTCAGTGTCATGAAGAAGAAAGCAAATTAGCTAATCAAATATTGGTAAGATATCATAGCTTAAATAAATTAGTTACTAATAAGGACAAAGTTTTTGGCTTTTGTTTTTGTTATTCATCATTTATTTGTCCAGGACAGAGCACAAATGTTAGTGCTTTGTGGTCAAATTTACGTATGTCCAATTACTTACACTCTCCGCTGATCATTCATGATAAAGGGAACGCTGATACGTTGATTAACTTGTGAATAACGAATCATTCTTCTATTTTGTTTTTTATTATTTCACAATGTGGTACACTGAATATCACTACAACATAAATTAATATTTATTGTAAGAAAATTGATCTACAAGAGTTAAAATTAGTCAACATTTGTAACTCATTAATCTTAGTTAGAGTACCGTTGAAAGCTATGGTGTACTGTGTTAATGAAATGTTTGTTTTGTTGCAACCAACAATTTACATATCTCTGTTCTTCACTCCTCATATCCAGTGCAATGAATATTACGTATAATATTTGGATCCAAGTCAGGATACAAATCTGCATTTAAGAAACTATGAGACAGGCTTTGTTTTCTGGCGATCGTTTCTGTTACTTCGGTTTGACAAGAAGGCTCATCTTTGTTGCAACTGTAAAGAATCTGTAATTGTTTGTGAAGTGTGATCATTTGTATGTCGACCAAAAATCTTGGACCTCGTCACCTTTGTTTTCTTGAACCTGTACAAATCATGTTATTATAAAACTCAATGAGCTTATTTCTTTGATTTAAAGTTTAATTAACGATGAAAGTATGAGTTCGCATGCACGCATTCAACTAGCTAAACGAACTTAACCCGACTTTAAATCAATCATCATCACCGATTTCGAACATTTAGCTTTATCCGCACTCCAATGAGTAAATCAGAACGCAGTACAAAGATGTTACTTATTTGGATATTGTAATAAGAAGACGAAGATCATCAGAGCTATGTTGACTTGTTAATCTTAGGTGCGAAAATGTATAGGAATGAGTGAAAAAGGAATTTTATAAATCTTGTTTGTCAAGTCACATATTCCCATATCAGTTATATAGGAATTTACGTTCAAGTAGATTACAACTGAATATTTCAAATCTTATTCGACTGTCGAAATCGTATATAGATAATTGACCAATTTAATTTAATTGCACACTCAAAGATTGCCTGTATTAAGAGAAATATCTATAGTCTGTCTTATTAAATTCATCAATTTTTTTCAGTATTGTTATTTTGAAAATAAAGGAAAGGACAGGAAGAAAGCTTGAAAAATTTTGCAGTAATGTTAATCATATTACTTTTGGTTTCCAGTTAATCCTGATAAGTACGTCATGAATTTATCTCCCATTGTTTTGTCGGCTAATGAAGTGGATGCACTTTCGGTTTTAATTTTGCTGTCCCTAAACGCAAATGGAGATAAATGCTTAATTTGAAAATCTCTACGGTCAACTGAGTACTCTAGCCCCTACATCTTTAAATAATCAAACTTGATGTAAAGCTAAACTGGTGGATATAGCGCACCAATTTCATAATTGTAGATCAAGGCCTAGAAGCACATTAATTTCTCAGCATTTTAAATCACTAAAAGAATTACGAATAAACCCTGATACTGTTTTGTTGAAGCCTTATAAAGGATCAGGTGTGCTTAACATGAACAAATGTGAATATAACAGCAAGATGTTATCCACACGCAGTGATGAAAGTCTAGTGGCCCGAGATCTGACTCTATTTAGGTCGTGTGATTGATTGTTATCGAAATGAACACATCATCTATCCTCGTATATTATCATTGACTTAACTCACGTTAATGAATAACGGAACTAAATAAGTCAAATACGAGAATGAAGTTTTGAATACATATATTTTCTACATTTATTGATCCGGACAGACAATCAGATGATCGAAGCTGAGGAAGGGATGAAAAGAGAGCGAAGCAAAATGACGCGATGGAGAAGACATATGAGCCAGCTCGATTTATCCAAGAGTTAATCATTATTTATAGTTGTACAAAAATAAGTTGCAGACATGTGATGAGTAAGATAAGAGATACGCATACATACGCTTACACAAAAGACAGTCAACCTTGATAAGCAAATGATTAACGAGGTCAAAATGTGATTCAAGAATGAATAAATTGGTCTGTCTGAAAGGTGGAATAAGCTATGTGGGCTTGACATGGCAACCGACACTGAAAAAGTAAAATGATGCCTAGTGTCGAACTTGAAGGTGCTAACAAGCTAGAGGGAAGGATACATTCAAAACAAGTAAAACTGATACCCATGAATATTATTGATCAAGAAAAATTTAATTTTGTAAAATTAATGGGTCCTGAGTATCCTCATTTACATGGATTACCTAAAATTCATAAATCAAACATTCCTTTACATTCAATTTCCTTAGTGTGTCGATCAGCTACACATAACCTAGCTAAATTGTTGGATCCTATCCGAAGGCGTTTATTTGAATATTCTCCGAAGGGCTTTTTTTTGAGTTGATAGACTATTTAGATTATGCTAATATCAAGGGAAAGATAATGTGTTCATTTGACGTGAATTCCTTGTTCAAAAATTTACCATTAAAAAGTCTATTGATATATTATATAACTACATATCTTTGAACAACCTTACATTACCTGTTTCTTTAAAAAATTATTAGAAATTTGTTATTATTATGCACTTACAAAGTCCAGTTCACATTTGAAAGTGGACACTTTCGGCATATCTATGTCGTTACTATAGGTAGTCCGTTAGGACCATTGTTAGCAGATGTCATCATGGCATATGTTGAAAATATGACTGAAGACCTATTCGAAAACATGTCACTTTATAAGAGATATGTGAACGATATCTTAGTTGTATGTGAAAGAAAGGAGGATATGAACCGTTTATTGAATAAACTTAACACTATTCAAAACCACACCAGTCTCTCATGCGAAAAAGAGAAGAACGACTAGCTTCCCTTTCTAGGTATACTTCTAAGTAAACGAGAAGATGCCTGAATCAAACGATCCATTTTTAGAGAACCAATGTGGACATGGCAATACTTTTGTTATTATAGTTATTACCCTGTGCAATACAAATGGGGTTTGATAAGGTGTCTACTTAACAGGCTTGATCGCATTTGTACAAATGACTCTGTTGATGATGATGTGAGGTTGTTAATCAAGACATTTATGGGAAAGGGCTATCCCGTTAAATTCATAAATAGATGGAAAGTTCATGGTACAGTGGGACCTACTGTAGCCTTGGTAGAAAT